CAGAAAAACTGGAAAATGGTCAGTTATATCTGTTTTAATAATACCACTTTGCCATTCCACGCTTGTGTAATTGTTAGTAATAATATTATCGATAATGGATGCAGTTGTTTTAGTCACGCGTGTTGGCTTGTTAATCATAGGGAAAAGGTTGTACTGCAAAAGTGTATTTTTAAAACGCACGACGTGGTTATCTGTTTTATAATTCAAAAAATTCAAATTAAAATCACCTAATAAATACACATGTTTTTTTATGAGCTTTGGTAGCAAGTAGTTTAAGTGGTTTTCAAATTGATTGTAATTACCATTAGGTGGTCTATATAATGCTGTTATAAATGCATTTTTATTTGTTTTATTAATTATTTCAATTGTAAATGACTCACAATCAACGTCATTTACTTTGAGGTTTTCTATGTACTTAAAAGTCAATGAGTTTTGGACGAAAATTGATACGCCCCCACCAATGCCGTTTACTCTAGGTTGATGAATGGATTTATATCCTGATAATTGAAAGTTAGAATTAATCGTGTCTCGATGACACCAAGTTTCAGTCAGACAGATAATACTAAACTTGTTACTTATATTATTTAACATAAATTTTAAATTATCAAAGTTTTTATTTATGCTTCTGATGTTTAAATGTAATAATGAAAAATGGGATGATAAAGAATTAAGAACATGATTAACATCGTCAACATTGTAATAAGCCGTTTCTACTAAAATTTCGTCAAAAATGTTAATATTTTTATCATCGTCATTACTTCGGTTTAGTGTGTTTTTCCTTCCTGATATGTCAAAAACATTATTATTGCTGGCTTCCGCCATTTTAGCAATAATAAATAAAAATACTATTTAAATTACAAAAAATATATACAAAAAATAAATAAACTTTAAGCATTTTTATGAGATTTTTTAAAATCTTTAACTACTAATTTATCATAAATAACGACAGAATATTTACCGTTATTCCTGTGAGTTCGCATTTCTTCAAAGAGTTTTTTACGTATGGTTAGGGTATCCAAAGAGTAGTCTTCATTTATAAATATTCCTGTTCCTTTTAACTTTTTTGAATTCTTTAATATGTTAATTTTATCTTTATAGTTCAGGAGTTTTATCACGACTGATCTAGGTTTACTCTGCCCGATTTTTCCGGTTCTATGCGCCCTTTCGATAACTACGCCACTTACATTTAGTTGTTTTTCAAAGATACTTAAAACTTTTTCTTCAGATTCATTCCAACTTTCAGATTCGCTTTCAGTTATTCCTTCAAGTTTTGTTATATCTTGAATAATAACTTCTTTTATTTATTTTTTTAAATTAACTTTAAAATTGATAACAGTTAATTAAAAATAATAACAATTTTTCTTCTTTACACAATAGATTCAGGAACTTGTTGATCTATGCACCATTGTTGGTAACGAATAGTCATAAAACAATGTTAATTTAGCATAAAATCTAATGGTACAGAAAGTTTAAAGTTTTACTAAGTTACCCTAAACAATTTTATGTAAACACAACGCAATTGTAAAACGCTTTAGTGAACATGCTGATGACACAGCTGTAAACGATATCAGTGAGATGGGACTTGATTTAAAACAAAAATATTTGAGCAGTTAAAGTGCGCGCAGTTTTATATCGCATTGTTTTCTCACTAATTAAAAAGTTAAATTTTGTTATTTGTGTTTTGATTTGTAAGCAAAAAGTTTTTATGAGTATTATTATAGTTCGTTGGTTAGAAATTCTCTTTTTACGGTTTTAAAATACAATTTTTCATTTAAAGTGTCTATGCAGTATGGAATAGTCTTACATTAGTGACTTGTTGTATTATATATTATAAGTATTATTTATACTAATAACATGAGCACTGTTGTATTATTATTTGTGAATTTGTTTCGAGAAAAAATTAATTAAAGTACTTCATTGTTTTATTTGTTAGGCAAAAATATGCTTGGAATTTAGTAGGATCTGAATAAATACACAATAATTTCATAAGATCTTACAAATCTTACTAAGAACTCATATTATAACTTAGAAATCTTACTAAGAAGTTAAGATAAATCTTACTAATCTTATTAAGATCTTACATTTCTTGCAAATCTTAATAAGAAACCGCACTTTAACTTGCAAATCTTAATAAGATTTTACTAGTTTTCTTGCACGTCTTGCAAGTCTTACTAATCTTACTAAGAATCTTACTAGGAAATCTTATTAAGATTTATAAGATTTGTCGCTGTGGAAATGCTTCATTGATCATATTCTATTGAAATTAATCGTTTGAATAACTTTTCCTGAAGTCATAAAACTTAAGTGCGTTTGAATCACTGATCTCAAAATATAACTGGATAGCGATTTTATTGTTTTTTGCGAAAAAAGTTGAAGCCAAAATTGGCCTCCCAAGATGGCGGTGACTTAAGCTCCTAGCGGTAAATCTAATATAGATTTTGGATGGTTTTATCAAACTACAATAAAAAATATTTAAATAAGGCTAATAATTTGTTAAAATTAAATTTGTTAAAAATAAAAGAAAACAAATGAATTTTAAAAATATTAGAGAAAAAATATATATATACGCTCTAAATTAAAAAGTGTTAAATTACACCGTTTTGGTGTAAATATAACCTCAAACGGTGTTTTTTTAAAATAGTTTTAGCAAAAGGTGTAAGTTTACACCGTTTTGGTGTAATTATACACTTTGAAAATGTATTCTTATTAAAACGGTGTAAAATAACACCTTTTTTATTAACTACACCGTTTAAAAAAGGTTTAAAATTTGAATAATGTAAAGTTTTTCTATTTTTACACCGTTTTAATTAAATTGTGTAAAATTACACCGTTTTCTATTTACACCAAAAAAGTGTATAATTACACCGTTTTGTAATTACACCAAAAAGGTGTAAAATTACACCGTTTTGGTAATAACATAGCCTCAAACGGTGTTTATTGAAAACGATTCAAGCAAAAGGTGTAAATATACACCGTTTTGGTGTAATTATACACTCTGAAGGATTTTTTTCTTACAAAAACGGTGTAAAATAACATCTTTTTTTATTCACTATACCGTTTCAAAAAGTTTAAAGTTTGAAATGTGACATACATTCAAAGGAAAGAGGGGCTGCCGAAATATATACCCGCGGTCACTTAGGTCACAAACATCTTTTGTGAAATAAGAGGGGGAGGGGTTAAAGTTAGCAAAACGCTAAAAAAAATGTGCTCGTGAATGTTTAAACCATTTAACCCTTTTGTTACCGGGCTCGGCAACCTTATATTACCGTGACAAAAAAGGATGTTTTAACCAAACTACAAACAAAATTATATTATGGGTTTAAAAAAGGTTCAAAAATTGGCTCCTTTTTAACATAACAATTTATCTTTCATAAAATAAAACAAAAACTAAGAAGATAAAATCATCAGGTCTTGTAATTAATAATAGCATATTTTGAAAACTAAATAATATTTTTATTTGTAAATTCAACAAAATAAAAATGCATCTTATTTTGATCAAACTTTTTTCAAATTTAGAGTCAACAATCAGACATATATAATTAGTAATTCTGTAAAGTTTCAAGTCATAAACATTTTATCATAAGTTATTAATTTTATTAGGTTAGCGAGTCTTTTGGTCAAAAATTTAAATTATAATGCTTTCTTCAAAAAAGAACAAATAAAAATAATAAAATCAAAAAGTAACAACAGTAAGATATGTCAAATAAATAAACATAGGTATATACTAATTTTTACAGCAAATCTAGCACTATGTGATAGATTTCAAAGCAGCTATGAATATGTAACCCTGGTTCACAGGGGCAAGTTTGGCATACATTCACAATTTTTTGTGTTTTTCATTTTTATTAAAAGTTCGTTGTGCATAGCATACTCTGCATAATTTAGATGGACGTCTATCTGTTGCATCGTGTGATGGCTGTTTGGTTACTGGTAAATGACACCCAGTAGGCCAGTGTATAGTACCATCAGGAACAAGTATTTTGTTTAACTTTGATGAATATAAAAATATTTCTTATTCAAAATTAAATATCAGCTAATCTAACAAAGCTTTCTTCGCTGTATAATTGGATTATTATTCTATTTTCTATTAAGCTAAGTTTTAATGTTGCTCAAAAAACCCGAGGTTGACAGAAAACAAAACTTTTTTATCCACCGCTATGCGGGGTAATGGTATTTTAACGACATATTTTATTATGCGGGGTACTGGTATTTTAACGACATGTTTTATTATGCGGGGTACTGGTATTTTAACGACATATTTTATTATGCGGGGTACTGGTATTTTAATGACATATTTTATTACCCGCTATGCGTGGTATCGGTAACGAAAGGGTTAAAATGTAAAAAATTTAAAAGTTTTAAATGTAAAAAAGTGGTAACGACACAGCTGTAGTACGCGTATATAAAGATTATATAAAGTATATAAAGATTATAATAGGTGAAAATGTGGTTAATAAAGAATTTGGAAAGGTTGTTTTATGAGGAGAAATGGAAATAGTTTGAGTTATAGTGAAGTAGTATACTAATTCACAATAGTTTATAATATACTAAAGCTAATTTAGGTAGTTGCTAATAAAAAACTTTTTAATTTTACTTAAACTCAAAGTAAGAAAGATTATTATCACGTTGTTATTATCAAATTAAGGCTTAATTTAATATTAACAACGTGATAATAATCTTTCTTATTTTGAGTTTAAATAAAATTAAAGAGTTTTTTATTAGCAACTACTACTTAATATAAGCTATTGATAATACTATTGTTAATAATATTTTAATAAGAACATTAACATATAATAACATATTATTATAATAATAATAATATTTGAAAATAATATTATAATCATTATTATATTATTATATGTAGGTATCTACATGTGTTTAATCTAGATTAAAAGGCGTAGTGTAAAATTGCATTATAATAGTGCAATTTACACTAGGCCTTTTAATCTAAATGCATATCACTTAATAAAAATAGTTTTCACGTAGCAAAAAAGTTTTAGTTTAAAAATTAAAGCTTAATTTTTAATTTATTTGACCAAGGTAACTAGAATTAATAAAAAATGCCAGTTTTTCCTGTATATGCATCATTTACATCTGATATTCCTAAAGGTATAGTTGTTAAACCTGAAACCACGCTTTCATAGTTTCTTGAAAAAGGTAACTTGTTATTTTAAAAGTTGCATTATTAATTATTAGTTATTAAATAATAACAATAATAATAATAGCAATAATAATAATACTAATAATATATATAAATATATATATAAATATATATATATATATATATATATATATATATATATATATATATATATATATATATATATATATATATATATATATATAATATATATATATATATATACATATGTATATATATATATATATATATATATAT